GGGAGGCTGCAGGTTGCACCGCGCCGGGGACCCGACCCCCTCCCCCGCCCCCGGCGCCCCGTGTGCAACATGGCAGAGCCCGGGTGAAAAGCCAATAGAAAGGGATATTGCACCTACTTGTGGCCAGTTTCCTTGCCCTGCCTTTGGATCGCATGCTGCCCGTCCCGCGGCGCTGCTGGGCTGGGTGGCTGCGTGGGGAGGGGGGGTCCCCTTGGATCTTTTCCTCCTTTTTTTTTCTCCCCCGCTCCCTCTCTCTCTCTCCCTTTCTCTCCCTCTCTCTCTCCCTCTCACACTCTCTCTTTCCAGGCTCGCTATCTCTCCAGCATTGTCAGTTTGGACACCTTCGCACATGCGCACGGGCTGCTCCCCCCCGCTCTTCAACCTCTCGGCGCCGCCAAAAAAAGTTTGGAGCGATCTATCACTTGGATTTCAGGATCTTGTCAGATGGCAATCGGCGGCGGGAGGGGGCCGGGAGCGGGGCGAGGACACCTCTTCCTCTCCAGCACAAACAACCTGGCCGGAGCCAACCAGGCGCAGACGCCCAGATGCTTGGGAGGAGCGGGAGTAGTTTTATTCCGCCATCAGCTGCACCGCAACCACCACCGCCACCACTGCTAATTATTTGTATTAATCACGCCTTCATTCATTAATAAGCCACCAGCCTGCGGATCAGATCTGGGCTTGGGAGCCCCCACCCTGCCGGGGTGGGGGGGGTATAGATAACACAGGACACCTCCCCGCTCCGGCTGTTGCAGAGTTTGAGGGGAGCACATGACACTTTTTGCACCAGCTTTTCTGTGTCACATCCAAGCCAACCTGTCACCCTTGCAGCGCTGCCGTGGCTTATTCCCCCACCCACTCGCGACCATCAGTGCCTGGAAAGGCAGAGAGGTGGACGGGGGTTGTGTGTTGCATTATTGCATGCCTGGAATTAAGTAACACACACACACACACACACACACACACACACACCCTCCACCCCCAGCTCGACTGCAGCTATCAGCACTTGGATAGGAAAAAAAAATGCCCTTTGGAAAAGACTAATGCCTGGTCTTCTAATCTGTTTTAATTACAGGCTTTGCCCATCCAAGAGGGAACACGTTGAAATGGGGAAGTCCTTTAGGGGCTGGCTGTGTTCGAGGTATGAATCAATCCGAACTACATATAGATTTTCCTCGGGTACAACCTCCCTGCATTAAACAGTTTTGTTCAATACCTTCCATGCGCTATTTATGTTCCCATTAATATCTGTTGCAAATCCTGCCAGACACCATAAAAGAAAATTACAGTCTTTCGGACTCGGGGCTGCGCCAGGACGTCCACGCTGCTCGAGTTTTTGTTTTAATAAAACCCTAAGCATCGCTTTCTTTTTGCTCACCCCCCACCCCCCAGCCCCGCTCCCGTTGCTGTTTGTCACCTGTTGGTGCTCACTGTCACAATCCTGGCTGTTCCCGGGGGAAGGAGGGGGCAGAGAGCAGTGGCCTCCCCCTCCCCTGAGCCGGCGGTGCAGCAGGACCGGCCGCGGCTGGGCGGACTAAAGGGGCGCTGGCCCCGGCGGGGGTCGCGCTCGCCCGTTCCCACGCACCGGGACGAGACACAAGTGTCCCGAGTGCCTGCAAACAAGCCGGCGGCCGGGACAGGCTCCCCGCCGGGCTTCCCCCAGCCCTGGCCGAGACACCCGCGTTTGAAACCTCCCTCTGGAGCGAATCGCACTTATTTTTTTCATAGGGGCAGGATAGGAAAACCGCGCGTCTCCTTCTCCTGTGGGGGTGGGGGGTGCCAGCCAGCCCTGCAGCCGTCGGATGGGCTGATCAGTGCGGCGCCTCTGCACCCACGGGCCCGGACACATCCCGGGTGTAACCTCAGGCAGAGGCCGCGGAGGAGGCAGTGTCTCCTCTCCCTGCATCACCTGCTCCTTCCCCGCTCCTAGGTGTAACCCGGGATCTCTCCAAGCCCCCGTCCCCCTGCCATCGAGCCATACCCCGGCCAGGCGCTGCGCCCCGCAGCCCAGCTCTGGCACCACCGCGGCCCCTCTCCCCATCTGCTCCGCACGCCCCCACCCCTGCCTGGGAGGAAAGGGCAGCAGGTGCTGCAGTCATTCCCCTTCTGCAAGGAATGACTGGAAGCATTTTGGAGCTGTGCTGAAAGGCTCGCAGGTGATCCGCGGGGTAATAGCCGATCAGCCCCGCCGGCCAGTGCCTGGGGAAGACAGTAGCTGGGACCACCGTCCAGGAGGCGGCTTCGTGGTGGGGAACATTG